TGCTTGGCAGAAGTTTGCCATGCTGCAAGTTGCAAGCTCATGTGCAGGAACAACAGGCCTCACTAACTAGTTAAACTTCATAAAAGAGCAGAAGCCAGCCATGGGAATGTCCTCAGGTGTAAAGAAACAAGATCAGATCTCTTTTTAAGATATAACTGTGGGGAAGGGCGGGGAGCGCCGGTCTTCCAACCGGCAGCTCGCTCCCTGCCTCGTAGGCCCCTGGAGGGAGGGCCCCCAGAGCATGGGGAGCCATGCAGCCGAGAGCGCTGTGGCACACCGGCCTTCAGGCCGGGCGCCGCTGTTCAATTGAGAACTATCATGACACAGAGTGTAGGGGGCAATGAATCTTAATACTATTTTAGATAAAATAGTTTGGTAAAGGCCTGCATGGTGCCTCGGGAAGCCTCCCCGGGCAGTGCAAGAGCTAATTCCCCAGATCAACACTGCCCAGGAATGTCTCCCCAGGATAAGGGGGCGCCTAGGCCTAGGTGACCCTCCGTGACCCTGCCTGCGCAGTGCCATCTCCTGGCCCTAAGTAAACACCATAACCCTAAAGGAATGCATAGGTTGTAAAAAAGGAGATAATGGGGGGGAACATCTACCACGGTTTGACATGCGACCTGCAACTGACCTACGGTCCAACAGGATGAGAGAAACACCATATGCCCACTGGGGTCAGAGAATGTAACACCCCAATCTGTTGTCAATGGAAACCAAAATGTATATAAGGGGAAACAAAGTTAGCCATGGGCCCCCGCTTCCAGATTGGCAAAGGAAGTGAGGGTGGCTAGCCTCAAATTAAACTCTGATTTTGGGGGCTGGGGATTTAGCTCAGCGGCAAAAGCACCTGCCTGGCAAGTGCAAGGTCGTGAGTTTGGTTCCCGGTACCAGAGAAAAACCAAAAATAAATAAATAAATAAATAAACTCTGATTTTGTTCTCACTGGTGATTGGCGTCTCTTGTGCAATGTTTGGGACAGATGGGAATTTTCTGCTGTAACAAGAGAAACAATGACATAATTGGCCCACCATGCACCGGCTGCAGATGCCCACCTAAAGACATGTGTGAATCATTCAAACATGGAAAAACCCCTGGGAATACATGCTATACAACGGGCCACTCTTGCTCCTGCCATTGAGAACCAGGAAGGCCCAGAGTCAGCAGAGGAGCAGCTGCTGAACAAGGACTCAGAGAACATGAGAATGCAGACTAAGCCCGAGGGGTCAGAGGTCCTGTGGACTGGGGTCATGAGAGCCGCTCGGAAGCTGTAAACCAGGAGGACCTTGCACAATACATGCGGGGAGACTCCCTGGAAGCCATTCTTCCCCTGACAGTACAGGCTGTGGTGGAGCCCCGGAGAAGTCTGCAACAGGATTCCTGCTGCCTGTGCTGACAGTTGGGGAGAGGACACTAACTGGTTGTGGGGTCCCAATGTGATGGGAGGCTGGAGAGAAAACGCTGCAAAAAATGGCTTTGGCCCCAGATGGCTCACTGGAGTTTTGACAACCCTTAGGCTGTAACTACTTGTTAGATCCTTCTTGCATATCTCTGTCTTCCTGAGAAACCACTTCTAAGATACGAACATGTATTACCGCAGTCATTGGTATTTTCCTACTAATCTATCCAGAACTCTGTAATGCTTGTATTGTTCCTATCCTATTTCATAAATGGATGCATGTTTGTTATTATGTGTTTCCTACAACAACCATTGAGAATACTTAATGATTATTCAATAGGTCACTCATGTATAGTTCTATTTATTTTCTTTCGAAGATACCTAAGTAGAGTACAACAACTATTGATAATCTCCTACCTCTTTTGTCTGTAACTCACTATTATTTGTCTATTTGTTTTCCTGAGAAACTATCTTGTAGGTAACAATATGTAAAACAATAACCATTGATAATTTCCTACCACTTTGTCTGTAATTTGGTAAGCCCCCCCCCCGCATATTGTTATCTTTCTCTTACTCTTTAAAATAAAAAAAAGATAAAACTGTGGGGTGGGGCAGTGCAGATGATGGCATCCTGATGACAGGGAGGACAGTTCGGAGGCCACTGCAATGGTCCCAAGAGGAGATGAAATACAATCAAAAGACTGATGACTTTTCCTTCATTTCCACTGAGACCCATCCACCCATCCGCCCTCATATGAATCCTCTATGTGGGAACCACTAGCTAAGTGCTATCAACTGAATGTTCCTCCCGCCAACCACCAGTTTCCATGTGGAAATGCCAAGTGATGGTAGTAGGAGGTGGGGTCTTTCTGAGGTGTTAGGTCGCCAGGGTGGAGTCCTGTGAATGAGATTGATGCACCTATAAGAGGTCCCAAAGAAATTTCTTACCCCTCCTGCCATATGAAGTGACAAAGAAAAGGTCACCCATGAAATCAGGAAATGTGCCATCGCCAACCACCAAATGCACTGGTGCCTCAGTTTTGAACTTCCCATTCTACAGAATGGTAAGATATAAATACTGTTTATAAACCACACAATCTGTGGTATTTTGTTACAGGACTGAGACCCAGAGGCATCGTTTGTAAGAATGGCCTGGTCTCCTGCTTACATGAAGTGTGGATTCTACTGGAAAAGCCAGGTATCCAATCATTCACTACCTGTTATTTAGTTTCTACGATGACAAATGCTAAGATAAAGCCTATCACAGGAGGTTGTGACCTGGTCTGAGGGTGGGGCTGACCAAAGAAAGCTTCTCAAGAAGTGACTTGCACACTTCTCTTGAAACTCCCCAATGATGGCCTTCCTACCTCACACCACTCATTATAAATAAAAATCTTGAAAATTATATTTTTCATTAATCGACTTTGTACCATTACATTCACCTATTTATTTGCTAAAACCTCTATGCAGCAAAGCCCAACCAGTAAGTCTTGCTGGGAGGAGACAACAGGAGGTGGAGGCACAAGAGGAAAAGCGGTGGTGGTGGGGGGAGGGTCACACATGACAAGACACCACAACACTGACAGAGGATGGGGGGCGTGGACAGGGGACGGGGACGCAGGGGGACATGACACACTAAGGGTAAGAGAAGGTGGTGGGTGGGGAGAGGCGGTAAGAGGAAGGCTGAAAGAGAACAGACTCCTGTTCAAAAGGCCTGCGCCCAGAACAGCAGGTTTATCCCAAGCAGCTCATCAAGGACAGAAAGTTCACACATTCCTGTGATCGACACTCAGCAACGCGGCCCTCTGCACCTCATGTGCGGGGCCTCGAGTGCAGGGTAAACCACTGCCGTCCACCCCGTAGCTCTAGCATGACTCAGGGCACCATGGCTTCAGAATCAACTCATCTAGGTTTACATTCGAACTCTGCCCATTAGGTTGTAAGTTACCACCAGGTTTCTTAGAATCAATGTTCTTAACCCGTCAAACAGACAAAGCTGTGTCAATTTATCAGGCTTTTTTTTAAAAATAGGGGTAAAATGACAGATATCTAAAATGCCTGTCAGTTCAACTGATCTAATCTATTAATCTAAACATACCAATCTGATCATTTCAAAGTTGGAATCCCTGGTGGCTCTTCGAGAAATATCACTTCACTTCCAAGTTAAAGACACAGATTATCTTTCAAGCTATGATGATTATTTATATGTTGATTAGTTCAACTTGAAAGCAGAGGAACAAATAATTTAGGAAGCTGTCACTTATTGCTACCTTGCCCACAATACCCACTTCCCTTAAAAATATTCCAACGGTTGATATTCAGTGACCACACATGGTGGTAGGTGTGAGCTGCTCACCCATCGCCCACACCCAGACAGCCCAATGCCTTCGCACTAGCACTTCCGAGATCATCACCACTGCTTGGGAGCGAGTCTATTGCCATGTGTAATAAAACTTAAAAAGAATTACAGAAAATACTTATGCCTGGTTGTTTCAAACAGGCCTAAATAACCAAACTAGTCTACAAGATACAGTGATTTTGGTGGATACCAAAATAAACACTCATTTCTTAGCCTCCTGACAGGTGCCCAGTCCTAGAGCACCTGCTTTATCCTGTGAACTGCAAAGTTTGGATGAAGCAAGCTCCGTGACAAACACACAACTTGTTTATTGAGAACAACGAGAGGGTCCCTCTATGGTGAGGCTAGGAAAATTTATCCTGCTGGAAACTGCGTACTAGCAGAAGGAAGAACGTTAATTCCCATGTGCAGATGCTGACACCTGTAAATTCCCTTCTTACCCTTTACTCCCTGCCCACCCCCAGCTTCCACGGAAGGGTACACGGATGCTTAGAAGACAACTTGCAAAGGTGGGCTGCGCCCTGAGAGATGCTCGTGGTTGGTGGGATCAGATGGGAGTGAGGATGAGACGAAACAGACTGCAGGGCTGAGAGACCCAGGAAACAGGGCCAGCGAGTAGACAGCAGCACGGTGCCTTCCCCGTCTGTCTTACTTGGAATAAAAGAGCACCGTTTGATAAGACACAATGGAAGAGGACCTTAATAAAATCTGGAATACCAACAGGGGAAACTAACATAATCAATACAGAGGAAACTTAATTTCACAATGGCAAGTATCCTTAAACCAGTTTTTAAAGACAACACTGCAAGTTAAGGATGGCAGATTGAGCACATGTATTTACCTCCTCTATTCTTCCCCTCCAACCTCCTAAGAATGACACTGAAAGGACTTTTAAAGGCATGAATCCACTAAGGTACAAAAGAGCTGAAGATGGTACCATTTCTTCTAGGCTAAAACCGGAACTATAGTGGTAACTAATGTGGCAAACCTAAGAAGCTCAAACCTTAAACCAGCAATAGTGAAATCAGAAAAGCGTTAAACTACCCAGGGTCGGCAGTACCAGAGGTTTGTGGAAGCAGTAAGAGATGATCAGAGTATCCAACCCCTCCCGTCACTCTACCTACCTGCTGCCGCTCTGGTACAACACAAAGAGGGATTTGGCCTTGGACTCCCCCTCCTAGCACAGAACTTCTAAACCCTTTGGAATTTCCTAAGCGAAAGGAGTATTTTTTTTCTTACCCATAAGGAGCCCCTTTAACCACATGAGTTGTGCTACTGAGGATCCCGAGGGTAGAGCGCTCACACAGCCTCAGACAGAGCTGGTCACCAGAAAGACCAAGTCAGTCCCACTCACCAGCCTCCAGGGAAGGGTGGGGATCTCGAGTGTGAGCGCAAACAGAAACTCTCGCAGACACTCCGAGAGCACAGAGGTTGCGGAACGCAGGAGGCGCTGGGAGCGAGGCCTGCTTGCGAGGGCCTGAAGCCCACGCGCCCCTCTCCCCACCTTGCTCTGTGCATCTCTTCCTTTTGCCTGTTTCTGAGTTGTACCCTTTTTGACATCTGGCAAATGTAAGTAAAGTACACTGGTGAGCTCTGCGAGCCATTCTAACAAATTTCAGACTGGGAGGTGGATTGGGGCAACGCCCAATTTACAGCCAATCAGAAACACAGGAGGCCCAGGGCTTGTGCCGGTACCTGAGGAGGCCGCAGTCTCACGGGACTGAGGGCTTCTGACTTTGTGATATCCGACACTGACTCCAGGTACACAGTGTCAGAACTCCACTGAATTGGTAGGCCTGGACAAGAGGGGAACGGGCGAACTGGAGAACTGGATGTTGGTGTTGAGAAAACACCTCTCGCTGCCTCACCTCATCTGGCAGAAGCCTGCTGCCTAGAAATGGTAAGCGGAAGGTCCGGGGCTGCGAGACTCGCACGCACAGCTGACAGTTCAGAGCCTGTACTGACTGTCTAATTCATTTGCTCAAGTCAGTTTCTGCACTAACTGCTGAGACTCCAGGCTGAGACTGGGGAGTATGCTCCAGAGAACGTGACCCACGCAGGGGCGGGCAGTGGCGGGGGACTGGTCAATCTACAGAGCCTGAAAGTGGGCATTCCCAGTGGCACAGCCCAATGGGGCCCTGCCATGGAGCGCATGGTCACCTTGCGGAGACCGAAATCCGCTTTTTAAAAGCTAGCCCTTAAACATAAACAGCAAAGGGCTTGGAGATATTTAAGGGAAACTCTAAAATAAGGAACTAAATGGGATCTTAGAAGAAAGAAACAGTGCAGAGGAATGAAAGCTTGGAGGAGAGCTGGGAAACCATCCTTAATAACACAAGAAGCTTTTTAAAAGTACTGCATCCGTGAAATAGAAACAGAATGCCAAGGAAAGAGAGTGTTCAGGAAATTTAAAAAGAACTATTGAAAATTTAAAAGAGAATAGCTGAAATATTTTTTCAATAAAATAAATAGATGAAAGGTATTCAACCTCACTAGTCATCAAGAAAATACGAACAAAAGCCACAGTAATGTAATCCTATAAGCCAGGAGAATGACCAAAATTCAGAGGCCCACTATCACTCACTAACCTGCGAGGAGCTGGCTGTCCTGCCAGGAAGATGCGCAGGACCACGGGGAGGCACAGGGCCTCCCGCCCTGGCTGGATGAGCGATCCAGCCTGGAAGGTCTTCAGCCCCAATAAAGTCTGCAGGCCACAGTGGCCTCTGCTGACATTCTGACTACAACCCCAGTACCACCTAGCTACACTGCTCCTGAATGCCTGCCCCATAGGAAGAAAGCCAAGCTCTTCTAAAGCTAAACATGGGTATACCCTACGGTTCAGCTTTCAAGTCCTAGGTACACACCTAAAAGAAATGTGTACATGCACAAAAGACAGGTTCAAGGGTATTCACAGCAACTGGATCTGTAGTGCCCCAAATTATAAATCATGTCACTTCCATTAAGAGTCAAGTGAACCTAATACTGAAAGCAGCAACTCAGACAGAGAAAAGCCTACATTTCCATTTAAAACCTAAATCAGGATGTTAAAGTCAGTATAGACTTTTAGGAGGAAATAGTGACTGGGAGACAGCAAAAGTAAGATTCCCAGGGTGCAAATACTGTAATGTTCTGTTTCTTCATTTGCATGGGACTCAGAAGGGTGTCACCTCATAAAAACTTACTAAGTTCTGAACTCATGGTATGTACATTTTTTCATCTACATGCTATCCTTCAATAAAAATTTACTTTTAAGTACTAACTAGAAGAGTTGGAAGACACAACTTGGTATATCTGCCAGCAAGGAGATCAAAAATACAAAGAGATTGGTGCATGGTAAGAGACATGGGTCTAGTTTTGGTCTTCAACATGTGGAAAGCCAGTTTTTCCAGCACCATTTATTGAAGAGGCCATCTTTCTTCCAGTGAACAAGCTTGATCCCTTTGTCAAAGATAAGGTGGCTGAGTGTATTTGGAATTGTTTCTGTATCTTCTTCTGTTCCACTGACCCTTGGGTCTTTTTTTTTTTTTTTTTGGCCAGTATCATGTTTTTTTTATCACAGTAGCTTGCTAGTATAATTTCAAGCGAGGGATTGTGATGTCACCTGCCTTGCCTTTGTTGACCAGAATTGTTTTTGCTATTTTAGGTCTCTCCTGGTTCCAAATGAATTTTAGGAATGTTTGCTCTAGTTCTGTGAGGTATTTTGATTGGGACTGCATTAAAAATAACGATTTTGGAGTGTGGCCATTTTCACTACATTGGTTCTTCCTACCCAAGAGCAAGAGATATCTTTCCATTTTCCCTTGTCTCTTTTTTTTTGAGACAAGGTCCCCCTATGTAGTTTGGGCTAGCCTTGAACTCACTGTGCAGTTCAGGCTGGCCTCAAACCTGCAGCAATCCAAACCTGCCTCACCCACCTGAGTGCTGAGATTACAGGCATGTGCCATCATGCCTGGTTTTTTGCATTTTCTGATATCTTCTTCAATCTCTTTTTTCAGAGTACTGTAGTTTTCAATGTAGAGATCTTTTTCTTCATTAGATGAGTTCCTAAGTAGTTCATTTTTTTCAACGCTATTGTGAAAGGTGTTGTTTTCCTAATTTCTTTCTCAGTGAGTTTGCTATTTATGTGCAGGAATGCTATTGATTTGAGTGTTGACTTAGTATCTAGCTATGAGACTGAATTTGCTTATTAAATCTCGATGTCTTTTTGGGATCTTCTATGTAGAGTATCATATCATTTGCAAATAATGATAGTTTAACTTTTTCCTTACCTATCTTTATTCCTTTTATACTTTCTCTTGTCTAATTACTCTGGCTAATGTTTCCAGAGCTATATTAAATAAGAGTGGTGATAGTGGACATCCGTGTCTTGCTCCTGATTTTAGAGTGAAAGTTTTCAGTTTCTGACTATTTGATATGATGTTAGCTGTTAGTTTGTCATAGATGGCTTTTATCAGATTGAGATAAAGACCATTTATGCCAATTTTCTGTAGCGTTTTCACCATGAATGGGTGTTGAACTTCGTCAAATTGCTTTTTCTGCAACTACTGAGATGATCATGTAATGTTTTTTTAGTTCTGTAGACATGGTGTATCACATTTATCGACTTATGTGTTGAACCATCCCTGTATCCCTGGCATGAATCCCACTTGGTCATGGTGTATAATCTTCTTGATGATTTGCTGCATTCTGTTTGCCAGTATCTTATTAAGGATTTTTGCATATATGTTCATTAGGGAGATTGGCCTCTTGTTTTGTAGGTTCTGTATCAGGGTAATACTTGCTTCCAGGAATGACTTTGCAAGTATTTCTTCCCTTTCAATTTCATTAGAGAGTCTGGGGGGCTGGGGATTTAGCTCAGTGGCAAAAGTTCCTGCCTGGCAAGTGCAAGGTCATGAGCTCGAGTCCTGGTACCGGAAGAAAAACAAAAACAAAAAACAAACAAAAAAACCAAAGAAAAAAAAAAGAGAGAGTCAGGAATAATACCATTAGATCTCTAAAGTTCTTGTAGAATTCAGCAGTGAATCCAGCAGGACCTGGGCTTTTCTTTATAGGTAAGTTTTTAATTATTTTTCCAATTTCATTAACTGATACTGATTTATTTAGAATTTTTATATCTTCTTGATTCAACTTTGGTAATTCATGTATATCTAGGAATCTATTCATTTCTTCTGTTTTCCATGGATCAAAGATCTAAATATTAAAATAGAAACACTAAATCTGCCAGGAGAGAGAATAAGTAGAGCTCTTGAAGACACAGGTGTAGGCAAAGACTTCATGAACAAAATCCTTGCAAAGAAAACATTATAAACAATCAACAACTGGGATTTCACCTTATTAAAAAGCTTTTGCACAGCAAAAGAAATCACCAACAGAGGAAAAGACACCTCACAGAGTAGAGAAAAATTTTAGTCAGTTGTTCCTCAGACAAAGGACTAATACCTAGAACATACAAAGGATTGAAAAAAATCAGACTCCCCCCCAAGTTTAAAGACCCAATCCAAAAATGGGCATCTGAGATGAATATATGCTTCTCAGATGAAGAACTATAAACAGCAAATCAATATATGAAAAAATGCTCAACGTCACTGGTCATTTGAGAGATACAAATTAAAACAAGCTGTGATTCTACCTCACACCAGAAAGAATGCCTATTATCAGTAAGTCAACCAATAACAAATGCTGGCGGGGCTGTGGGGAAAAAGAACCCTTCTCCACTGTTGGTGGAAGTGCAACCACTGGTGCAACCACTGTGGAAATCAGTGTGGGGATTCCTTAAAAAACCAGGACTAGAGGTTCCATTCGACCCAGCTATTCCCCTTCTTGCTATCTTGGTATCTTCCCAAAAGAATCAAAAGCACTACACCATATGATACATGAACATCCATGCTTACAGCAGCACAGTTTATAACAGCCAAATCTTGGAAACAACTGAAATGCTGATCAATCGATGAACAGATTAAAAAGGTGGTTTTTCAAATACAGTGGCGTACTGCTCAGCCATAAAGAACGATAAACTTGAGGCATCTCGAGGTAAACAGATGCGCCTTGAGACCATATTCTTCAGTGAAATAAAGTGAACACACGTGTAAATATCGCATTGTCTCTGCTGTGAGAAACTGCAAGCATAAATAAGGACCAAAATGTTAACAGATACTGTGAAATAGGAAGAAATTTTTTAAAATGAAAGGGGAAGTAGGAGGAGGAGGGAGAAAGGAAGGAAGGAAAAGGAAAAACGAGAAAAGAAGGGTAAGTGGAAACAAAGCTTTGTAAATAAGGGGGGAAAGAGGGGCTGAAAGGAGGAAAGAGGAATGAAAAAAGAGGGGTCACAATGTATCGTGTGCAGGTACAGATTCCCAGTGATGAATACCATCATTATGTGTATCTAAAGCCTAATTAAAAAATACAAAGAGAAGGGAGAAAAGAAATTAAAACTAGCTCTCTCCAAGTAGCTCAACAGCCTTCACAGAAAAACAGAACTGAGAGAAAAGAAAGGGCGATGATAAAAGTAAGCCAGGAAAAAATCCAAGAGGAGAAACCCAGCAGCGTCCTGCCTGACAGGGCCCACACCACGCCCACGGCGAGTGGGAGGAGCGTCACTCCAGCGACGTGCGGTCCTCACAAAGTACTGATCACCACATCCCCACTGCGTGCGTCAGCAGCCGCAGTGGAGGGCAGGTGACGGTGACAAGGTAACAGTCTCTCACCCTTCTCTTCCTATCCATCCTTCCTCTCCCCGTGAGCAAACAGCCATATTAAAAAAGCTTCTCAACACGGATCTTCCTCTTGTAATGACCGAGTTCACTTCCTGCGACTAGCCATTAATAATTGTATAGAATGCACATTACGATATTCAGAACAAAGAAATGGTCAGAGGAAACTCCAGCTTGACTTTGCTTTTAT